CACATGCTGGCGTGACCGTCAGCGAAACAATCCAGGACAGACAACTCTGGACGTCCGAAATGGATACGGAAAGAATGGGTGCAATGCCCAACAGCAGTTCTTGTTCATTTTGAACAGGATTCGCTGTCCACGCCGCCGCGGCCTGTGTCCATTTGAGACAGAGGGCCGCCTGCCCAACAGCGGCCGCTGTTGGTTTGGGACAACATTTGTTGTTGGGCATTGTGCTCATTTTTTCGGTACCCATTCGGGCGTCCAAAGCAGAAGGGGGTAACCGCAGAGGATCTTCAACGCTGCCTCCCCCCAAAGCTCTCGGCGGGCAACAAGGCTCGTCCTTCCCCCTTCTCGTCCCTCCCCTCCTCTTCCCTCCCCTCCTCGCCCTCGCTCTCCGTCATCGTGCTCCCTCCTCCTCGTCCTTCGCTTCCTTTGCTCGCCCTCCTCGTGCTCTCCTCCCCGCTGGGGACACGGGTCCAGACCTCGAGGGGTCCACGCTGTGAAAGAAAAGCGGCGTAGGAGGTCCGGGGCGTGGACGTGGTGGTCGTCGTGGCCGCCGCCGCCGCCGCCGCCGCCGTCGTGGGCGGAGCCACGGGCGCAGGCTTCGGGCGGGATGAGTTTGTTCAGTCCCCGCGCTCTTCCTTTGCTTCGGCCTCATCTCAGCCACGCGCAGAAGGGGAGGGGGGAAGGCTTCTTGCAAGCAGCCGTGCTCTGTAGAAGGCGCGGGCCTTCTCGGTTGATGTAGGGCCGATGCCCTCTGCTAAGAAGCAGCCTCGTTCTGAGAAAAAATCTCCCCTCCCCCTACCCCCTTGTGCGCGCCGCCAACAGGAAAGTTCCCAGCGGTCCAGCGAAGAAAAACAGATCCTGAAACATAAATTGTTGAAGCTCCGCCCAGATTTCTTGCATCGGCGCTGGGCCCCTCCCTGGCGCGCCAGGGGCGGCAAGGTGGGCACAGCGCAAAGCCAAGAAATCCGCCCAGACCAGCTACGGTGTATGTTTCATGTAGTTGTTTCTTCCTCCCAGGAATTGGTCCAGAGGTCAGGGACTCCGCATCTGTTGCATCAAAGCGTCGCGCGGACAGGAGTTTGAGAGGGCCCTTCTTGCCAAGCCGATGCGGTGGTTTGTTTATATTATGCTCGAGAGGTCGTTGCGGCCCGCATTGATTTGCTGGTCCGCCAGGTCTGGTCTTGGGTCGCTTCCACCGAAGGCAGGAGGGAAACACACACCGACAGTTCATCGTCGATTCCCAGGAACATGTGGAAACTGCGGCAAGTGGGGGGGGGAATACGACACTCCAGAAGATATTAGGAACTGTGTGGGGGATCCTGGGATTTGTGTCTATTTATTTGTGTGTCCCAGGACCCCTGCATAAAGGGTGCTGAAGGTGGCTGCCCACTCCCGAGGGGAGGAGGAGGACCAGCTGGCGGCGCGCACGCGGGGAGGCGGCCTTCTAAGGAGAAGGAGGATGAGTTTCCTATAGAGCAGGCGGTGTCTCCTCGATCCTTCTCCTCGATCTTCCTCCTCCTCCTCCTCCTCCTCCTCCTCCTCCTCCTCCTCCACCCCCTCCTCCTCCTCCTCCTCCTCCTCCTCCTCCTCCTCTCCTCCTCCTCCTCCTCCTCCTCCTCCTCCTCCTCTCCTCCTCCTCCTCCTCCCCCCCCCCTCCGCCTCCCCCTTCTCCTCCTCCTCCTCCCTCCTCCTCCTCCTCTCTCCTCCTCCTCCTCCTCCTCCTCCTCCTCCTCCTCCCCCTCCGCCTCCCCCTCATCCTCCTCCTCCTTCTCCTCCTCCTCCTATTATTGATTACCCTCTCGGCTTCTAAGAAGCCTTCCCAGAAGCCTCCAGGCTCTTCTAGGAAGGCCCCCCCGCCTTCCCAACGAAGGCCGCCCCCCCTCGCGCGCCGCGAGACCACGGCAGGACGAGGACCGAGCATCGAGTTGCACCCATTCCTCGCGTCGTGGACGTAGTCACGATGCAGGGTGTTTGATCGGCCCGAGTGCGGCTCCCCTCCCCTCCGGCTGGCTCACCCGCGCCCCAGCGCGCCTCCTCTCCCGTGCCATCTGTGCCCCGGCGCGCCCCGGCGCTGCTCGACCGCCGTCGGACCGTCCGGCGACCTCTGGCAAAAGAGAGCCGCCAGGCAGGACGACGAAGCACAGCCGACGCGCATAGTAAGGATAGGCATCCTTCCCAAGGGTACCCTTGCATCCTTGCCTCCTGCAACCCTCGTCAAAATTAACCTCAAAGATGTCTGACGTGGTTGAACTGCTTGTCGGAAGATCTGGGGCCGAGTATCGATGAGTGCGGGGTACTTGCATGCGCCGCCCCTCCAATGTCCGTCGACGTCAAACTTTCGAGTCAACTTCGGTCAGACTATCTTTGCCCTCGCCCCGACATTGAAGCGGCGGCGTGTCGACATTGAGGGGCGCGCCGAAATCGAAATGACGCGCCAGCAACTTTTGAGGTTCATTTCGACGAGGGTAGTGGGTCCATCCTTGGACACTTTCGTTGGCCGCGCCCCGCTCGAAACGCTTCGAAGTGGGCGTCCAAGGCCCCTGCATCCTTCTCTCGCATCCTCACTGTCCGGGTTGGCTGCAGGCGGCAGGGTAGCAGGCGGGCAGGAGGGGGGAGAGGAAGGGAGGCGGGAGGCGGGAGGGGGTCGCGCGCGCAGTGCTCCGATCCAAAACAGAAGCCCAACGCAGGGGGGATGGGGGGAAAAGTCTCACAGCCCTCGGGAGGAAAAGAGCACGGGCCCTCACATAAGCGTCGATTCCGACGGAGATTCTTCCAGAGAGCGTGGAGTAAGATTGTGGATCCTGTGATCTGTACCTGCTCACTCGTGCGCCCCCAGGGCGCCCGCATGCCCTTTTATTGGCCTCTGGGGGGCCCCGCCGCGCCCGATAGGAGCGTCCGCGGGGACGGCTCGGAGAGAGAGAGGCGGGCCCGAGGGCCGAGACTCGAGGGCCGGGGCCAGAGGGTCGAGGGTCGAGCCTCGGGGCTCGAGGGCCAGATTTTCGAGGGTCGAGGGCTCGGGGGCTCGAGGGTCGAGCCTCGGGGCTGCGAGGGTCGGGCTCTTCGAGGTTCGACGGGTCCAGGGCTCCGAGGGTCGAGCCCGCGAGGAGGGGCCGGGCCTCGGGGCTCGAGGTCCCTGCCGCGGGAGCGCGGGGAGGGCGAGGCCCTCGAGGAGATGGGCAGCGGGTGGGAGGCCCGCGGCGGCGTCTCGGGGCGAGGGGATCGAGCCTCGAGGCTCAGGTCGCGGGCGCGAGCCCGGCGAGGTCTGGGCGATCTCGTGTCGGGGAAGCGCGAGGCTCGAGGGCGCCTCCTCGAGGTCCGAGGAGGCGTGCTCGAGCCCCCCTCCTCATCCCCCCCTCCTCCCAGCGCCTCCTCGAGGATCGAGGCTTTGTGCGCGCCACTGGTCCGTGCTTCTCGGGGAAACGTCAGACTCGAGCAGGCCGGAGCTCGGGTTTGCCGACGCTGTTTGACGAGTGCATCCTGGGCTTGTTGTCGGTCCAGTTTCTCGGGGGATGTTTGCAGCCGGATCTCGCGTCAAATTCCAGATTGGGTCTGGTCGTTTTCATGATGGCCCAGTCAGGCCAACCCGAGTCCCCCGAGCCCGAGTCCTACGTCTTCCCGACATGGGAGACAGGTCCAGAGGTTTTGCGACGTTTTCGGGCTCTCGGGGCCCTCCACGGGCCCCAGGACTGTCAGAAAACGGCTCAGGTTGAACATACTGTCTTGGGAGAAGACATACCAGGATTCGGGACCCATTTCCCTCAGCTCAGTACCCGCTTCCCCCAAAGCTAATGCAGTGATCTTCGGAGGAGCACGAGGGCATGAGCGGTACGTGTCAAGATTTTGCGGATTTCCCGGACTTCCTGATTTCCCACAGGGGGTGCAGAAACGATGCCCGCTGGATATTCTGCAATCTTGAAACGCATCCTGAGCCAATTTCCCTCAGGACCAGCTTCCCTCTGTGCTACTGCAGGGGGTTTTCGGAGGAGCAATAGAATCTCACGTCTCCCCGAGCGTGGACCGTTTTCGGTTCGCCTGGCATCGCTCGGACGTGTGCGTTTTTCCTTCGGCGAGGATCATCGAGGAGCATCCTTGATCATTTGGCGAAAAAGCCGCGCACGAAACCGAAGAAAACACAGGGAATGGACGTCCGAGCGATGGCCAGTTCGAGCCCGTCGCCGCGCCACGCGGGCGGAGGAGCGGGGGCGGAGCGAGGGAGGGCGGGAGCGAGGGCGAGCACGGGGGAAGCACCGCTCGGCGCGAGCCGCGTTGCCGGGGCCGAGCGTCGAGGCTCGCGGCTCGAGGCCCGAGGCCCGGGGTTCGACGAGCGGTCGGCGCCGCGCGGGAGGGAGCAGAAGCACACACAGACACACAGACACAGTGCGTCGTCGCTCCCCAGGAAAGGATTTTGGGGGAACCTGTGGGGAGCGCGGGGGGGGGGGAGACGAGAACCCAGAGAATACAGCGTATGAGAACATCTGGGGAATCTCTTGGGATTTGTGTCCATTGGTTTCTGTGTCCCTGGGCCCCTTCAGTTACCCCTAACGTACTAAATCTATGTGTGCGTCGAAGTGAGGGGGAAGACGATCATCCAGAATATATTGGGAAAAATAGGGGATCCTGGGACTCGTGTCTATTTATTTCTGTGTCCCTGGGTACCAACTACAGTTGGGGGGCTTGACCTAAGGAACCCAACATAAGGAACGAGGCCCCCTTTTTCCATGAGTCGAACTGCGATGTCCGATCGAACACATGAGGAAAACCTGAGGCAAGCTGCGAAACACTTCGGGAACGCGGAGCCCCTCCCCGACGAATAGGGTTCCTTCTTCAGGGCCCCGACTGTAAGTCACCCCAACCTACACCTTAGGCGATGCTTAAGAAAACTAACAATTTCGGCCAGAGTCTCGCTTATTCTTAATGTTTCAATGCAAATCCTACAAATTTGGTAGAAAGTTTGAGTTTTTATTCAAATTCTGAGACTATGAATTTCTTAACCCATGATTTCTTAAGCATTTCGCAGGGTGTACTCGTTGTATGCGACGCGCCGCTCCCCACGGGGGGCAGCGCGGACCCGCCGAGCAGTCGTGCAGTGCATGCTCCGTGGCGGGCGCCCTCTGGCCACCCGCACCGCTCCGCAGAGCTCCGGAGGCAGCACACCTACAGGGCGGCTGCACTGCATGCTCGGACCGGACGTCCCTCCCTCTCGCTCTCTTGGGCGTTGCGTAATAGGGGGGTCATAAATGGGGGGGTGGCGAGGGTGGTCCGAAAAGGTACCCAAACGGTGCCTAAACGAGCCCCCTGGGGCTCCGGAGGGGCCCGAAAGGGGCACGAAAGGGGACCGTTTCTGACCCCCCTATTTGTGACCCCCCCATGAAGCCACGCCCAACTCTCTCTCTCTCTCTCTCTCTCTCAGAGGAGGATCGGGCACCCATACCCACCGGTCGTTGAAAGCAGGTATTTTTGGGTTCCCAGATTCCAATCTGCTTGAAGCGCCTTCCTACTTCAATGATCGAGTGGCTTCACCTATTCCATCCTCTTTTGAGGGTGGGCGGACACCCAATCTACTTTCAACGCCTTCCTACTTCATGTTTCTACGTGCTTCTTCCGACCGATGGGTACCTCTGCCCTCCGCCCGTTTCTCCCCTTTTGGGCCCCCTCGGAGGCCCTCGTCGCCGCCGCTGGAGATTCTCGCCGCGAGATCCCCGCCAGAACGCGCCCGGGGAGAGGTCCGAGGAGTAGCGGCAGCGGTGCCCTGTGGCTTCCCCTCCTTGGACGGCACGCCGGACACGCTGCCCATCGGCGCCCCCGAGGGCGGCTCGCCGCCGCCCCGCCGCCGACGGGAAGAGAGGTCGGCTCGCGCGCCCGCCCCCGGAGGAGGGCACGCAGTGCCAGTGCCTGACGCTTCGGGTGTGCCTCCTCCTCCTCCTCCTCCTCCTCCCCCTCCTCCTCCTCCTCCTCCTCCTCCTCCTCCTCCTCCTCCCTCCTCCTCCTCCTCCTCCTCCTCCCTCCTCCTCCTCCTCCTCCTCCTCCTCCTCCTCCTCCTCCTCCTCCTCCTCCTCCTCGTGCCCCCCTCGAGGCTCGAGGGCCCGACGCGACCAGAGGGCCCGGGGAGCCGCACCCCGAGCGCCGCGGCGCGGCCCCGCCCGCCCCGCCCCCCAGGCCTGCAGTGCGGCGAGGGCGGCCCCGACGCGCCAGGCGGGGCGGCGCCGCCGCTGGCCCTCGCATCGCTTCTCGGACGCCCTGTTCTGCCGATGGGCGCGGGCCCTCGCACCCCAGGAGGAGGAGGAGGAGGAGGAGGAAGAGGAGGAGGAGGAGGAGGAGGAGGAGGAGGAGGAGGAGGAGGAGGAGGAGGGGGGAGGGATGAGGGAGGAGGGAGGGAGGAGGGAGGAGAAGGAGGAGGAGAAGGAGAAGGAGGAGGAGGAGGGAGAGCAGACCTTGGCTGTTCTCGGCGCCTGTTTCGAGCAGGCGGCGACCCTCCCCGAGAGGACGCACCCCTGCAGACAGTAGTCGCACGAAGCAGAGGTCCAGAGCCAGACCCCCCCCCTTTCCGCCCAATGTCGAACCGCCGTAGAAGAAAACGACCAGCTATGGGCCCACCAAAGAATTTTGTAAGAACCGCGTGTGCTCTGCACGGCATGCTCTTGGGACACTTCTGGCCGAGAGTGCCTTGTCTCAGCACAGATCGGGCTTCTGTTATGAAAACGCTGTTTCTGTTATGGGGGCCAGCTGCGAATCTTACCCCTACCCCCTGCGATTTCTGATGGGGAGGGTGGGGTTCACTTCGCTCGGGAGCTCCCGAACGAAGTGACTCCGATGCATGTTTTTGTTGCAGGGCGAAAACTATGCACTTTACCGCGCCTGGTTTTCATCGACGGCCTCAGAGTCTGTTGTCGAGTTCTCTCGTCGACCCATTTAGGTCGAAAGGTTGGCGCGCGCATCTTCGCTGGGCTCGCAAGGGGTAGTTGTTCTTAAAAACGCTGGGGGCGTTTTTTTTCCGTTTTCAACTTCTGGCGTTGCGGTCGACCAAAACAGAACAAACACGGTAACGCAAAACGTGCCCAAAACGATGTGACCAGGACCAAAATGTAACACAAACGGCGGGCGAAAACGCACACAAAACGGAGAACCACAACAGAAAAAAACAAAAAAAAACGGCACGGGCTTTGAGAGGTTCGCAACAACGGCGACGAAAACGTACAGAAAACGGCAGGTGAAAACGATTAAAAAACGGATCGCAAAACGAACCGAAAACGGCAAGGCGCAAATCCAAAACAGAAAAAAAAAAAACGGCTCCCAAAACAGAAAGACAAGTCGATCTCCAAAACAGAAGGAAAAAAAAAGAAAAAAAAAAAACGTCCCCAGCGTTAAACGCAATCGGCACTCGACGACGCCAGGGGGCCCTTTGAGATTTCGAGGCTCGGCACGGTGATCAATTATCGTCCGCGTATAACCAGCGGTGGTGCGCGCGGGCATAGGTGGGGCTGCCCAAATCGAAAAGGTGAGGTTATTGGCCGCCACCTCCCCCCCCAGCGGATAACCCAGGCTCTCGCCGGAAAAAGAATCACTCGACGCGGGAATCCCCATAGGAACATGTGATAATATTGTCGCGCATCGCTGAAGAACTCTGTCCATGAGTATATGGGTTCGAAATCGAATGCCCGTAGACTACAGGCGCGGCAACGACGACGACGACAGCGATGACTTCACTGACGTCCTCCTCCTTCTCCTCCTCCTCTTCCTCCTCCTCCTCATTTGGACATTTTCGTCGAGAGGCGAGGGAACACGATTGGAAGACCGAGGGGGACCTCCTTTAGCCGTGCTTCCCGCGACAACCCAGGCCAGCGCGCGTGGCGTTGCTACGCCCTCTATCTGGCGTGCTACGCGCGGTGCCTGATGGCACTCGGAGTGCCCAGCTGCCACGCCGGCTATATCGCGGTAGCCATTCTTTGTGTGAGCCGTAGTGTTGATGAATACGTGCGCGCGTGATTTGAATGTGGGCGAGCCGAAGTGTGAACGCATATGGGTATGATTGAGCCTGGGTGTGACTGGGTATCGACGTATCAGTCGGTTCACGATTGATTAGGTTATGAGCTATGAACGATTCTGAGTACTAGGGGGTCTAGGTGCGAGTGGGGGTGGTTGTGAGGGCGTCTGAACGTGGGCGAGTCTGAATTTGAGCGCGATGAGTGCCAATTGGAGTTTGAGTGAGCCCGGGTGCGAGTTAGCCTGAATATGAGCGAGGTGGGCGAGTCTGAACGTGAGTGCCTCTGAGTGTGAGGTGGTATGGGCATGAGTGAGTCTGCGTGTGAGCGAGCCCGACCATGAGTGAGTTTGAGTGAGGAAAAGGTTTTGGTTAGTAACTCCAAGTGCGAATGGGTGCGTCCGAGTGGGGAAACGGGAAGGGAGGTGAGTGAGTGGGTGAGCACACACAAGTCCAAAGAGACTTCTGCGGGGGGCAACAACCGGAAAACAGCCCGAAACATCCGAACAATCTGGGCGCGAATCATGGGGTGGTTGTGCCCGTGGCGGTTCCCTTCTGGCGTGCCCAAGTGGCACGCTTGTTTTATCGCGATGAGCATCGAACCACCAAATAAGAAAAATCTAGGGGGATGAAGCGGGCAAACCGCATGCGACGTCCCCACAATTTGGGCGCGAATCGTGGAGTGTGCTCAGCCGTGGCGGTTCCCCGTTGGGGTGTTCAAGCGCGACGCGTGTTATATCGTGGCGAGCAGGGAACAACCCCAAACAAACAAATCGGGGGATCAACAGGCAAGCCGCGTGAGACACCCCGGCGACCTTGGCACGAATCCTGGAGTGTCCATTCCTTCCGGACGGTTCCCCCTCGGGGTGCCAGATTGCCACGCGTGCCATGTCCAGTGATTTGTGGACCACCCCCAAAAAATAATTCAGGGGCGCAGAGGCGAACAAACCGCCACAGACATCCGAATAATTCGGGCGCGAATCCTGGAGCGTGTTTGCCCCCGGCGGCGCAAGTTTAATCGCAGTGACCAAGGAACCGCCTGGCACACCGCGCGAGACATCCTCACAATCTGGGCGCGATGTTCGGAGTGTGTTCACCCCTGGCGGCTCCCCCATCGGAGTGCCAAAATGCCACGCCTTCTATATCGTGGTAAGCAGTGGGCCCCCAGAAAATTCGGAGTGAGCCCGCGTGAGGAATAGTGTGTCGGAGTGATCACATCTGAATGTAAGACTGAGAGCGCGTCTGAAACAAATTTCCTGAGTGTTCTGGGTCTGTCTGAGTGAATCTCAGTCTGAGTGAGTCTGAGTGAGCAAGTGATGTAGTTGACCCTGCATTCGAAAGGTGATTCTGTGATGGAACCCGTAAAGGAGAGTGGGTTGGTGATGGACCCCGTCATGGGCGTGACTGATCTGAATTTGAGTGTTTGAGTGGTATGAGAATGAAGACAGGAAAACAATGAATTGAAACGTCGAAGTACTAGCAAGAATATGGGCAGCAATTGTCTAGGATCCAAAGAGCCCGTTCTTTTGACCTTCTGGCTATAACGGGCGTGACCCGTGGGGGGGATAAGGAGGGTGAAGGGGGCCAATCACGTTGCGATTCGCGCTGCCGACGTCTGGGAATACTTACGGATGGTCAATTCGCCGTCGGCGCCGGTGCGCGCGAATCGTGACGCGACCAGGGAGTACGGGGGGTGGGCGGGGCCGGTCGAGGGCATGATCGAGAATCATAGCCATGGTCAAGCAATGGATTCTGGCTCCAAGTCATTGATCTAAGCTCTCCTTTGCCCGCCGTTTTTGTATGGTGTCCCCCCTGGAGCCGCAGGGGGCGCCGAGCGCATCGCGCTGCTGCGCGCCGCGCTCTTCGCGGAGGCCGCGCGGTTGTTACTCGCGGCCCTTGGCTTCTCCGGCGAGGCGCCGATGGGGAGTGGGAGGAGGGGCGGAAAAGAGGGAGGTGATGGCTAGGCGGGGGTGGATATCATGGCGGGGGCCATGATTTCTCCCCAGATTTTATGGCGCCTCTTCTTATTCCATTACGTCCCTGGCCCCCCCGCTGGGCCGCGCACATGCCGCCGGTCATGATATGCACCCCCGCCCTCTTGGACACCCCCCTCTTGGCCGCTCCCGATGGGAGGAAGGGCAGGGTTCGGGGGCGTCCGAAAGGGGGTGATGGCTAGGGGCCTGTGTGGATATCGTGGCGAGGGCCATGATACCTTCCCCGATGTCATGGCCCCCTTCTTCTTTTTTCCATCATAATAATGCTTATTATTATTCTCATTATTTAATGATGATGATTATTATTATCAGTCTTATTATCCATATGATTATCAGTATTATTATGATCTTTATTATTAGTATGATCATTATTATTATTGTTGTTGTTAATTAATAGTAGTATGATCATTATTATTGTTATTCTTATTATTTTTCGTATTATTGTTGTTAGTATCATCATTATTATTATTATGATTATTCTTTTTTATCATTATATTATTAGTATGATCATCATTATTGTTATTATGATTGTTATTATTATTTTTATTATGTTTTGCGTTTTTCTTTCAAGACGGTCCCTGGACTAGCCCTCGTCCGCGCACGTGCCCCGGGCCATGATTCGCGCATCCCCTCCGGCACGCCCCTCTCTCGGGTGCCCCCCTCGCGGACTCCCCCGAGGAGGGGCGGGAGGGGGACGGGGCAGGCACCGGACCCGGACGCGCTCGTCGCGTCTGTCGGGCAAGAATCACGACGGGAGGTGTCTGGCCATGGTCGGCCTTCCGGGGGCCCCGCGCCGGGCTTCGGGGCCGCCAGGAGGAGTCGGCCCCGGTTCCTTCGGCCCGGTTTCTCGCTTCCCCTTCGGCCCCAGTTCCTTGCCTTGCCCGCGTTTCTTTGTCGGCCCGCCCTGCCGTCCGAAGAAGAGTGCGCTGTTTTTCCACCTGTGCTCACGCCCACGCACCGCCTGGTGTATGGCTTGTCGGTCTGTCTGTCTGTCTGTCTGTCTGTCTGTCTGTCTGTCCGTCTGTCTGTCAGGAGGAGTCTGGAGGCGGAAGCAGGCGAGTTTGTCTGTTTCCATCCAGTGATGGCACGTTGCTCCAACAGGCGTCAGCTTGCGAACACACACTGCCCACCGACACCATAACACGCCTGGGTCGTCTCGTACTAATGGTTGCCATCGTGGGCCCAAGCAGGGAGTTGCTGCACAGTGGATGCTTATAAAGTGTGCGGTGCAGCCACTGCGGCGCAGTCTATGCCATGCAGCTCATGTGGTGCAAGCTATGCGGAGTCAGTTGCGCGTTTCAGGCTGTGCGTTTCAAGCTGTGTGGTGTCGTATGCGGTGTGCGCCCTGGCGGACCCACCCAGCGCACGGGAGGCCCACGAGGCGCCCGAAGCTGGCCACCATCCAGGCGCTGGGCGAGACCCTGGCGGGCTCCCGTGCAATTCTTTATCAAGGTGGTCAAGGAAAACGCCGATCCATGGGGGAAGGAGGAGGGGTTGGTGGATGAGGAGGTGGAGTGGGGAGGAGTTGGAGGGAGAAGGCTGGAGGGGGAGAGGGGGGCGGATGGGGGGGGGGGAGGGATGAGCACTTGGAGGGTGTGAGGCGTGAGGGGGGCGGAGGGGGTGGAGAGAAGGCGGAGGAGGAGGAGGAGGAGTGATGGAGAGGGAGATTGATGCGAGAAAGGTGGAAGGCTTGGGAAGGAGGGAAGGGGTGCAATTCAGAACAAGAGGCTGAATATGGGGATTAGGATGAGGGGGGGTAGAAGGAGCAGGAGGAATTGTTCGTCGCTGGTGTTTTTCTTGTTTTAAATGTGGCAGCGCACCGGAGACCAGCAGGAAGTCGGCAGCAGGTCGCAACTGTGGCGCGGCATTCTCCGAGAAGACATTCCGACCTCTCTTCCTGCCTCCTCCTCCTCCTCCTCTTCCTCCTCCTCCTCCTCCTCCTCCTTCTCCTCCTGTTCCCCCTCCTCCTCCTCCTCCTCCTCCTCCTCCTCCTCCTCCTCGTCCTCCTCGTAGCCTTTCTGCTCTCAGGTGTTGAGAGTTGCGGGCGCGTACTTCAGAGAGGCGCCGCGTTCGCGAGCCAGCTTTCCCCCGTCCACTGCTTTCGCTGTCGTGGATGGGGCCCGATGTGCTTCCAGGGCCGCATCTCCCCCTCTGGGGATGTGGCAAGTGCGGGGCATTTGACAACTGGGCAAGCAGGGTCAAGTGCCGAGGATGTGGAAATTCCTGCCCCCAACGCGTGCTCGTGGCGGCCCAAGCTGCCGCCAACCGCGCTAAGGGAGGCGGAAAGGGGAGCTCAGCTGCAGCCATTGGAGGGAAGGGTCGGTGGGCCAATGGCCCGCCAGGTGGCCCAGGCGACGCCCAGGCCAAGACCATCCAAGCCATGCAGAAGCAGCTGGACGCCCTGCTCAAGGACAAGGAGAAGGACAACAAGCAGCAAGTTCAGTCTGCCCCTCCAGGCAGTGGCGGCGGCAGCGGCAACGGTGGCCCGTCCTTCAAGGAGGTCATTAACTTCCTGCAGGCCAAGGGCATCCAGGGCGAGCTGGTGGCCTCTGTCACGGCTGCGCAGCAGCGTGAGGTCGCCGAGCACCCGCCTTCCGTGGTCACGGCTCGCTGGCGGGTCGAGAACCTGCGGAAGAAGAACGAGAAGTTCGAGCAGCAGCTACGCAAGCTTCAAGAGCGTCGAGCTGCCCTCGATGAGGAAGAGGCAGCCATCAAGGCCTCTGTGGAGTCGCTTCGCCGCGAGCTGTCACAAGCTGAAGGTGTCTATGCTAAGGTGTCTGCCTCAGACCTTGGGGACCTGGTCAAGATCACCGAGGCCGCCTTGGACGAGTCGCTGCACGAAGACGCCGAGGTCAGGGCAGCTTTGGCCGTGCTGGACAAGCGCCAGAAGGAAGCGGTGGCCGCTCGAGGTGCTCCTGCTCAGCATCCTGGCGGTCCAGGCGGCAACGCTCCTCCTGGCGGCGAAGGAGCTCCTGGAGCTGGCCGTGCCGAAGGGGCGCGAGGAGGTGAAGGCATCCCTGCAGCTGATGGAGACGGAGATGACATCGACATGGAGCTGCTGGGCCAAGACGACATCGACATCGAGTCGCGCACAGAAGACCTCAGGAAGGCCGCTGAGGAGCTCAGGCAAACTTCCCCAGGAGAAGCTCAGGAGGCCGCCAAGCGCAAGTATGCCCAGGCTGCTGCAGCCTTGGGGATCAAAAGAGTGCGGAGGCTTTGACGACCTCGAGCGCTCCTGGGACCACAACGTCGTGGACGTCGACTGGTCGGAGGAGATCGGCTTCGCGGTGCCGTCGCTGCTCCCGCGGCCTGTGCAGGCCCTTTCGGGGGCTCTGGCTGAGCCGATTTGGCGTCGCGGAGGCTTGGCCCAAGCCGGCGCTGGGGGCGCTCTTGACTTCCAGGCTTGGCCTGCGCTGGGGCTGCACGTGGCTCGGCCACGACGGGGCCTCGGCCCGAAGGGCAGGGGGGCAGGGGATTCAGCCCCCGATCGTCGAACCCCCCTGCCCGCATGCACGGGGAGTTCGAGTGCCTGCAGCGGCCCTTCGGCGTCATCGGTATTGCAGGCTCATGCGGAGTATCCCCAACTGGCCCGCTCCTCGGGGTTGGGGACATGGTCAGCTCAGAGGGCGTCGCCATCTTCGGCAGCGGGGTCTGCTTCTTCGGCTGCGACGGCTTGCTCTTCGCGTGGCGCTAGGACGCAACAGTCGTCGCCACCTGCCCTTCCCACCCCCAGGGCACCCTTTCCACGGGAGGCGGGGGACTCAGCGCGTGGGGAGGGGGGGCAGGATGTTTTGCTGGCGCAGCTTTCGGACGCAGAAGTTAGATTGGCTGGCAGTGTGCGTGGCTACCCTCGTCCCCAAGTGGAGCCCGATGCGGATTCGAAGATACGTCGGTTGAAATCCGACGGGAGGGCGGAAGAACCTCCCGCTCGTAATCTTCTTGCGGACGATCGTGACTCTGGTGTAGCGCGGGGATCTGCTGACTTGTGCGTTTTTGGAGCCAATGTCAACAGCTGGTCTACGGCAGACACTGTGGTGAACTGGGTCCGAGATCAAGCAGACGTCGGAGGGCCTGGGGCGGCTTCTTGGGGTTTGGTCCAAAGCAAGTTCCAGGTGATCACGCTCCAGGAGACTAGATTGAAGTCACCCGACAAGATAATTTCGGCCCAGAGTTGGGCCCACAGGAACGGGTACCAGGTGTCCCTCGGGAAGGCCCTCAGCACTGGCGACGGGCCCCTGCAAAGCTCTGGAGGAGTCGGTATTTTGGTTGCTGGGGAGATTGCTTCGAGGCCCTTGGATCTTCCAGGAGTAGGCAGGTTCGACGGGAGGATCGTAGGTCGGGTCATCAATGCGGGGTTCGACCAGGGCCTTGAGATCTACAGTGTCTATCTTGTCAACGACATAGGCGTGACGGGCGAGAATCTAGAGATTTTGAAAGTGTTGGGAGCGCTCCTACTGTGCAGTAAGCGGCCGCGGGTTGTGCAAGGTGATTGGAACTTCACGCCCGCGGCTCTCCAGCTATCAGGTTGGATACAGCATGTGCACGGTGTGCTAGCCGCTCCTGGCCAGGCTACTTGCTCGGCCTGCGCTCCTAGGACTGCCACGGGAGAAGATATGGAGGAGGAGGAGCTGACGGAGCATGACAGAGGAGGAAGGGAGCTAGACTACTTCGTCGTGTCATCGGCCATCAGTTCATGCATTAAGGATGTCCAGGCTATCCGAGGAGCGCCGCTTTTTCCCCATTGCCCTGTGCTGCTTCGGTTGGGTAACCTCTGCCAGACGGCTGTGGTCCAGCAGCAGACGCGTTTCAAGCCGTTCAGCACCGCGCTCATGGGGCCGCTGCCGCAGGAAAGGGACGTCCAATGGAGCGACCCTCTAGACACAGATTTGGACTCGCTAGCTCGGGAGTGGTTCGGGGAA